GAAAAAAATTGGGGGCAAAAAAATGACTGAAATTTTGAAAAAAAAAAAATGTTATAGAAAAGAAAAACGAGAATTATGAATTTTGAAAAAAAAAATTGCTATAGATTAGAGAAAAAAAAAAGAATATACAAAATGGTTTGTAAATAATATTTCATTGTCTGCGTATAGTATATTTATATATATTGAATAAAAAATGAAAATTGATTAATTATTATTGATATTGAATGTTTTGTGTATGAGCGAATAGCGCAGTTTGAAAATGGCGATGATCTCTTGCGAATGGGAAAATACAAGAAGTAAGTGTGCAATTCCAAGTAACTCCTAATTACCTCTCTTGATAAATATCACTCGCGTTTGCCTCGCGAATGACGTTGAGCTCCTGCTGCGTTTGCCTGAAAGGTCGTCAGTCAAATACACGTCAGCCAGATTCGTATATATTATCGCAAAATAGCTATATGGTTATATATCTTTTTGTTATACGCTCACTTTAAAAAAAAATAAAAAAAAAAAACTCACAATTCAGCTCACAATAGAAATCTAAAAATTACTGTCGTCCCTTCATTATATAAATTTTTACCTCTGTGATGTAAAAAAAAAAAAAATTAATCGTCTCTAGAATTTATTTTAGTTTTCAATTTATTAATCACAATTTCTGAAAATGAAATCAACAAATATACAATAATTGAATTACATTTTTTTTTTAGTTTTTTTTTTGTAAATTAAAAATAATAATAAATAAAATGTACACTCTACTTTTAACTTAAAGAATTAAAATTTTTTTAACTCTAGGAAGGATCGAACCCTGAACGCATAATCTTAACGTTTATATAATTCAATCACTTAACGATTGTGACTGTCGCAAACTTGAGAATTATTTATCGTTTTCTGAAAAAATAGATTTTTATAATTAAAAATGTTCTTCTTATTTAACAATTTAAAAAAAAAACTATTGGAGAAAATAAAATATACATTTTTTAAAAATATAATACTATTTATTTAGATTTAAAAAAAAAATTGTATTTGTCAATAAAACAAAACAAAAAAAATTGAAGTTCTATAATCATATTTAAGTTATATGTGAGAATCTATCAAATATATATATAATGTTCGTAATTAATAGTATGGAAGTGAAAGGTATCGTGTAACATTAATCCTGTCAGAATTAGCACAAGGGCTATACGAACACGAATGAAGGGAAAAGGACTCGAGAGATCCCCTTATTATTACAATAACTCCTCGAGTTGCTTTTCGCTCTTCTCATAAGATTCCGCCTCTAGCAAAGAGGATATTACCTCCTAGATTAATGGACATTTAACGGAAGAGGGCAAGGACTTTCCGGAAGTGAATAAGAACGGCGAATTTCCCCTTTTCTTGCGCACAAGACTATAATTTCTTTTTAACTATATAAATAATAGACGGAAAAAAAAACTAATATGAGAAAAATTTTTCTTTTAATATTCTATAATTATTAATATATAATTTATTGTTTAATTATTAAATTAAATGCAACATTAAAAAAAAAAACATTCGTATAAAAATCTCTTGAAACTAGAAAGTTTCTGTCTTTAAAAAAAAATGAAAATATAAGAATTTTCAAAATGAAATTCCGTCACGGTTTAAATTTTGCAATGTACCTGCACATGGAATTTCATTTTCAAAGTCATACGAAGTGACTTATTTATGATCGTTCCGTTGACTTCTTCAAAAAGGATCAGGTAAAGGGTTAAACGCGAAACAAATATATATATACATTCAAAAGTCAAGGAAAATTTTCATGCGGTCAGACCACCAATGGAATTATATATATGTATATATTATAGTGAAAAGTTTCTAATAATAAATGCGTAAAATTATAAATATAATCAAAAAATGCCGCTTTCTCCCCTTTTTCTTGACTTGAAATCATAAATACTTTTTTTAATATTGAATTCTTTATGTATTTTACTATAGAAAAATATTTGTAAACTAAAACTATAATACTGTAATAAATGCTATAATACTACAAATACAGTACTATGATACTATAAAATTGTAATACTACAGTACTACAATACTATAATACTACTCTTATGAAAATTCCCTTATAAGAAAATAAATGTTAAAGCTAAAATGTTTTCAGTATAATGTTTTTTGTATAATATTTTCCCGATTATAGGTAATTTATTATAAGAAATTCATAATAAAATTTTTTTTCTCAAATAATTATAAAAATATAATTATAAGAGACTAATGAAATCATTACAATTTTATAATTTTGATAATTTAATTATTGAAAATAAAATTTTCCACATGCAAAAATTAAAATATTATAAAATTAAAATTATAAAAATTTAATTACAGAAATTAATTAATTTTGTATTTTACTGATAACTATATATTATATATATAGTTATCGGTAAAATACAAAATTACAAAACTATATATATAGTTATCAGTAAAATACAAAATTAATTAATTACTGTAATTAAATTTTTATAATTTTAATTTTATAATATTTTAATTTTTCCATGTGAAAAATTTTATTTTCTATAATTACATTTTCATAATTATAAAATTGTAATTATTTCATTAAAGAGTCTCTAATAATTATATATATTTTTATAATTATTTGAGAAAAAAAAATTTTATAATGAATTTCTTATAATAAATTACCTATAATCGCGAAAATATTATAAAAAAAAACATTATACTGAAAACATTTCAGCTTTAACATTTATTTTCTTATAAGGAATTTTCATAAGGGCCTACAATACTACAGTACTACAATACTATGAAATTAATACTATATGAAATTAATACTATAACACTACAATACTATAGGAAATTTAAAAAATTATATTATTGAAGTATTATTAATTAAATTTTTTTCAATGTATTTTTTTTTTCATATATTATATATATATATATGTATATACTATCCCGGTAGTACCAGGAGGACCGATGGAAACCACGACAGCTGATGAGGACCTTGCTAGGGGGACGATCAATAATTTGTATAATACCTCGTCGCTTTAGGTACCATCGTACTACTATCACACCATCATAATGCATATATATATATATATATATATATATATATATATCATATCAAACCTTCTTGTCGCTTGCAATTATTCCCTGCTTTTGACAATGCGTGGGATGTATCAAAAATATTTGTTTTCAAAATATGAATGATTACATTTGGTATACACGTCAGTAAAAGAAAAATTTCGAAAACAATATTGTGCAATTTTATATCGTAACTCGAATTTTTATTCAGTTCGTATCCATTTTGATTTGAATACAGAAACTAATATAATAATAATAATAATAATAATAATAATAATAATAATAATAATAATAATAATAATAATAATAATAATAATAATAATAATAATAATAAAAATAATAATAATAATAATAAAATATATAAAATTTTATTAACAGATTTGTATTAAATTTATTTCCATTGTTAAAAATTTGTATTTAAGCAAAACTTACTATTTTTTTTTTTTTTTTTTATATATCAATTGTATAATAAAATTTTGTAATGTATACAAGTTATAATAAAAATTGTAATAAATGTTAAATAAAATAATAAATAAACAAATAAAAATGTAATAAATAATAAAACTAAATAATTGTAATAAAACATTGCAATAAAAAATTATAATACAAATTATTATAAAAAATTGTAATAAATTTTTAAATAAAAAAAAAAAAATTTTTAAAAAAATGAAAATGTAATAAATAAATAAAACTAAAAATTGTAATAAATTTTAAACAAAATAAATAAATAAAACTACAAATTGTAATAAAAAATTGTAATTCAAATTATTATAAAAATTGTAATAAATTTTAAACAAAAAAAAAACAATAAATAAATAATGAATAAATAGAAAAATAAATTAAAAATTAAATTAAAAAAAATAAATAAATAAAAATGTATTAGTAAACAAAATCAATAAAACTAAAAAATTGTAAGAAAAAAATATAAATAAATAATGATAAAATAAATGAAAGTTTAATTCTAAATTCCTAATTATACTATTCTGAATGCTTTTTGTTCTTTAATTTAAATTCTAGAATCAGATTTATCAACACAAATAAGAATGAAAATGGTTTTAAATATTTTACCAACATCTTTCAAATCAGTGCTGCCATCTACTGGAAGCATGTGAAACCTCCAAGAATTATTATTTACAATTGTTAACAAAAAAAAAAAAATAAATATCCTTATTTGCAATATATTATTTTTTTTTAAATGAAAATTGATTTTTCCATTTATGTATACGTAAACGAAATTTATCATAAAGAAATAATTATATAATTACCATATTTTAATTAATAATTACATTTTATATCGATAATCCAAATTGAATTAATGGGAAATTAAATGCATGAATATTGTAAACATAATTATTATTAATTAATTTTTATATTAAATAAAACTTTTAATTTATATCACGTCAAAGAAAATGAAGTTTATGATAAGTGAAATCACTTACCGACAGTGAAATTTCTACTTTAACTTTATCTTCATTTATAATAATAATAATAATAATAATAATAATTTTTCTTTAAATCTCTATTTTTTAATATAAATAATTTATTTAAAATTTATTATTTTTAAATTTTATTTTTTAACAAAAAATTTATTATTTTTTAAATTTTATTATATAACAAAAAAAATTTTATTTTTAAATTTTATTATTTAACAAAAAGTTTATTATTTTTAAATTTTATTATTTAAAAAAAAAATTATTGCAACCACTTTTTTTAATTGTAAAAAGAATTATAATCATATTTAAAGTATATAAAAATTTCAAATATATTTGAAAAGTAGTTTTTATTAATTAGAAATTTTTTTTTCTAAATTGTTAAACTTATTTTTTCATACTGATTTAGCGTAAAAATTTTCTAAACTTTCTATTTTCTTTCAAAGAAATAAATTTTTCAAAAATTAATACTAATAACTATTATTAATTATATGTTCAAAAATATTTGATATTTCTACTTACCACTTTTTTGATTATAACTTATTATTGAAAGTATATATGTTTACTACGCAGTTTTTGTTGGTAAAATTTTTCAATTTCTCAAATTTATATTACTTTTATAAATAAATTTATTAACTATATATTAAAGAAAGCTTGGAAAAATTAAATAAATTTTATAAATTAATAATATACATAAATAAATTTTATTCAATAATATAAAGCGATATTTATTTATTTCTAAATGTTATAAGCCGTTATTAATTAAATAAAACGAATAAATTTTAACAATTTTTGGAAATTTAAATTATGCGAAACATATATAAACCTTAGAAATAATTTTCTTTTTTAGGAAATTAAATTGGTTTATATGCTTATTTTATTGAAAAATAAAATTTTAAAATCAGAATTGTTATATTATTAATTATTTAATTAATTGCTAATTATTGAATTAGTAATGCATTTTTTTTTATTTATTTGAAGTTTTAAGTCAAAAAAAAAAAAATTCCAAATTTACTAACAGTTAAATAAAGATTTTTATATGTATTTTACAGTAAATAATTTTTCCAACTTTCTTGACAAACTCGTTCAAGAATCGAAGAAATACTGTCAAAAATTTTCAGCTGTATTACAATATATTTCAAACAGATTCTATACATTAATATATATGTACATATATACAAACTCAGACAATAATAAATATACGTAAATATAAAATTTCATTTTTAAAAAGAAAATAAATATTTTCTCTAATTACATCATTTAGAATAATTCCAAAATTTTGTAATACTATTTAACGAATTATTATATAAGAAAAAAAAAAATTTTTTTTATATATACACACAAAATGGAGGAAAATTATAATTTTGACATAAAGTGTTGATTTTTTTTTTTTTATTGTATAAAGTCGCGTGGCATGTCATCCGTAAGATACCTGTAGAGACGAGCTTCTGACATCTATTATTCTACAAAAGCCCGGATCTACAGGGTAGATCACGAATGTGCCTATTTATTGTTATTTCATCCTCTTCTAATTTTAATATCTGAAACATAAAATAGAATATTTTTGTTATTTAATAAAATTTAACAAAATAAAAATTTATCCAAACAATTTTCAAAATACAAAAAAAATATAATAATTTTAATTTATAATTATATTAAAATATAAACGAAATTATTTAAAAATTCTAATTATTTAATTATATTTTCAAAAATAGTTTTTTGAATTATTACACAAATTACTATTAAAATTACGTATATACAGAACAATTTACGTTCATTTATTTTTAATAGAGAATTTTATTCCTATTTCTTTTTTTTTAATTATTTCTTTTTATCTATTTTTTAATTATTTTTTTTTATTATTATTAATAATTATTATTTAATTATTATATAATTATTAATAAATAAAAATAAAACAAAACATTTTATTTACAATATTTATTATATTATTTATAGCACTAATAATAATAATAATAATAATTACTATTTTTAACAATTATATTTATACTTATATAATAAATTATATTTAACAATTTTTTGAATTAGTATATATGTCAAAAACAATTTTTTAATAATTAATTAACATTAAACGTGTATAGAAAAAATAAGTGAATTAAATTCAAAGAAAGAAGATATATTTGTATTGTCAATTAAAATAAAAAAATTGACACGTACCATTGATTGTGGATTGATGACATCACTTAAAACAGGACGTGATCTAGCACGTGCATCCTCAATATATATATATATACGATTAAAGGAAGTCACGAATAGAACCTTAAAAAAAATTGCCTGACGTGACTGCGCATCTGGGATTTAGCATATGAATGATTTTTCGCTCAAGGATTAAAGCTATGTAATAACTGCATGCCTCACATATATTTAAAACCATTTTGAAATTAATCGCACCTTCAAGGGGGACCTGTAACAAATTCAATAATTTTATTGTATCACAAGCATTTAAAAAAAAAAAAAAAAAATGTATTTATAAAAAATGGAAAAAAAATTCTTCAATTTTTTTTTTTTTTATAAATTTATTTATATATCTATAAATTAAAATACTATAATTTTTGTAATAATTATATTATTTATTATAATATTATAATATATATTTATTATTTATTATAATGTTATAATATTTACATTATTTATTATAATGTTGCAATATTTATATTATTTATTATAATGTTGTAATATTTATATTATTTATTATAATATTTTAATATTTACATTTTTTTTAAATAATTGTTTATAACAAATTATATTAATAACAACAACAATAATAATTACACTGAAAAAAAATTTATTTGATTCAAATACTCGATTACTTGAGTATTGTCAAATAAATATTTATTTAAATCAAATAATTTTTATTTGAATTAAATAAATTGTATTTGAACCAAATAATTTCTGTATTTGAAACAAATATAATTTAATTGACTCAAATAATAATTATTTGATACAAATAAATATTTATTTGATAATAATAGTCAAGTAATCAAGTATTTGAATCAAACAAATTTTTTTTTCAGTGTATTATTATTACTACACGTATAATTATACGTTTTTGAATAAATAAATAAACATAAAATAAATAAAAATAAAATAATAATAATAATAATAATAATAATGATGATGATAATAATAATAAAATTTATAATAAACAAAGTAATTTAAATAAATTAAAAGTAAATTAAAAAATTACTATATTAAATTAAAAAAAAGAACTGAAATAAAAAAGGGGTTCAGTAAATTAATCAATAAAACAAAAAAATATATATATATATATAAAAAAAGAGGAAACAAAAGTGGTTCATGCGGGTGGCAGTTGTTCATAAAAGACTTCCTTTCATTTTTGTCGATAATGGCAATAAATCAAGTGCCACAACACTAAAGAACTGCCAAAACTGACACACTTCCAACACTTGAGCACAATAATAATTGCTTTTATAAATTATCACTTTCGCTGAGAAACCAGTTATATAGACTCCGGGAAGAGAATATCTTTAAAATATAATTTCGATCCACAGGAAGTATATATATATATATATATATATATATATATATATATATATAAACTGGTCTGCAAAAGGACTCAAGGCTCGAGATTCAAGATCCATTTATCAGTCTGTTGAGTCAAATGCGGGTCGTTCGGCTGAAACTTCGGAGGTCACGAGAATGAAATCCAGACATGCAACAAGCAAGAGACATGATATGAAGAGTGGGGGAAAAAAACCAGAGAGAGAGAGAGAGAGAAAAAAAATTCAAAAATTAATTCGATCTAGATTTTTTTTTTTTTTCTATGAACAAATTTAACAAAATTTAGTTTTGAAATTTTTTTTAATTACAAAAATAATATTAAAACAAATGGAAAATCTTTTATTAAAATTTTATAAAAATAATATTAAAACAAATGGAAAATTTTTTATTAAAATTTTATAAAAATAATCAAATTCTATAATGATGGAATTTACTATGTTTCTTTGAAAAATGTAGACGAAATAGTTAGACAACTACTTAAAAAAAATTGTAGTTTCAGTGTCAGTAATAATTGTAATTTCAATCAGACAATTTGGTAAAATTTTTGTCGTTTCAATTTTAGTAGTAAAAGCACATTTTAGTCAGACAATTGGTAAAATTATTGTAGTTTCATAATTAGTAGGTGAAAGTAAACTTTAGTCAGACAAATACAAAATACTTGTCAATTTAGTAACAGTAGTAAAAGTAATTTTTGGTCAGACAGAAAAAATTTCTATTTTTTATATTTGTAAAAGTACATTTTTCTGTACTAAAACATTTTTCTGAATTGCTAGAATTCTTTTTACTTTCAATATCAGTAGTAAATGTAATTTTTTGAGTCAGACAACTACTAAAATTCTTGTAGTTTTCAGTATGAGTAGTAAAATTATTTTTTAGTCAGGCAACTGCAAAAAAATTCTTGTAGTTTCAGTATAAGTAGTAAAAGTAATTTTTAGTCAGACAACTACTAAAATTCTTGTAGTTTTCAGTATGAGTAGTAAAATTAATTTTTAGTCAGGCAACTGCAAAAATTCTTGTAGTTTAGTATAAGTAGTAAAAGTAATTTTTAGTCAGACAGAAAATTTATATTTACTAAACTTTAATATAAATAGTAAAAAATAAGTTTTGGTCAAACTGGTGCTAAAATTTTTACAATCTCAATAACAGTAGTAAATATAATTTTTAGTCATAAAATTAATAAAATAGAAAATTTAATATAAGTAGTAAAGATAATTTTTGGTCAGACAGAACAAATTTCTATTTTCCATTTTTTTTTGGTGTAAGTATAGTAAAAGTGCATTTTTTTCTTAAACAATTGCTAAAATTATTATTGTACTTTCAATATCAGAAGTTAAAGTAATTTTTAGACAGACAAATACAAAAATTCATGTAGTTTCAATATAAGTAGTAAAAATAAGCTTTAATCAGGCAGAATAGTTTTTGTAATTTTTAAAACTATTTATTTAGTTTCAGTAGTAAAATTAATTTTTAGTCAGACAACTGCAAAAATTCCTGTAGTTTTATCATTAGTAGTAGAAGTAAGTTTTTATCAGACAAAATATTTTGTAATTTTTAAACCTATTTTTTTTAGTCTGAGTAGTAATGGTAATTTTCAGTCAGACAACTACTTTTTATCTTGTAGTTTCAATATCAGTAGTAAAAGTAATTTTTTAGTCAGACAGCTGCTGAAATTCTTGTAGTTTCTGTATCAGTAGTGAAAGTAATTATAATCAGACAATTACTTAATTTATTGTAGTTTCAATATCAGTAGTAAAAGTAATTTTTAGTCAGTCAATTTCTAAAATACTTGTACTTTCAATATTAGTAGTAGAAGTGATTTTTGGTCAGACAACTATTAAAATTTTTGTAGTTTTAGTATCAGTATTGGAAAGAACTTTTAGTCAAACAATTAGAAAAATTATTGTACTTTCAGTATTAGTAGTAAAAGTAAGTTTTGGTCAGACATCTACAAAATACATGCAGATTTAGTTTTAGTAGTAAATATAATTTTTTAGTCAGTCACCTGTAAAAAATTTATTTTAGTTGTTTTTAGTTTTAGTATCAGTATGTTTTGTTCTGATAGAATAGTTTGTAATTTTTAAAATTATTTTTCTACTCTCCAGTGGTAGAAGTAATTTTTAGTAAGACAACTGTAAATATTATTGTAGTTTAAATTTTAGTAGTAAAAAAAGTTTTGGTCAGACAGAAAACCTTGTAAATTTATAAACTATTTATGCAGTTTTAGTAGTAGTAGTAATTTTCAGTCAGTCAATTACTTAAATTCTCGTAGTTTCAATATCAGTAGTAAAAGTAATTTTTAGTCAGACTGTACTATTTTAGTAGTAGTCTTCAAAAAAAAATTTTTGTATCAGTAGCAAAAGTATGTTACAGTCAGACAAGAATAATTCAAATTTGTCTAATTTTTAAAAATTCTATTTCAGAAAACTGTCTCTTGACAAAAAATCAAAATTTCGTTCACCAAAACTAAGATATTGATTATATATATATATATATATATATATAAATAAATAGTAAAAAAAAAATTTCTGCTTGTTTTTAATAAAAGAAGAATTTTGTATTTCTTTTAGTAAACTTTTTTAATAAAAAATTGGATCTAACTTGCCTTTAGTAAATATATGTCACTCAAACGTCACTAATAACTTGAAATTTCAACTTCACGTTTACAAACAAAAAAAAAATGATTTTTCCTCTCATGCGTGATTTTCAATGAAATAATAAAAGTGCCATATGTAAAAAGGGTGGATTGGTGTCTGTGTAATGAATCCAAGGGGTTGTTTTTCAGTATTATTTTGTCAAAAAAAAAAAAAAAAAATTTGTCACAATTTCTTAAATATAAACGAAAATTTAATTTAATTTTAAAAATATAATTCAAAAAAAATTTTCGATTTTCATTCAATTCAAGAAAATTCAAAATTTTTATTTTTGAAATTTTAATTTAAAAAATAAAAAAATAACAAAAAATTTTGAATTTTAAACTTTGTATACAAAACAAATCATCGATTTTATATATAAAAATTATTAAAAAAAAAAAAATTTCTGTCAAAAATAATACGGACCCAATTTTTTTGTGAGTAACACTTGAAGGTTATAGTAAATTGTGAAAAAATTTCTTTCTCTCTCTCCCTCCCTCTCTTTTTCTCTCTCTCTCTCTCTCTATATATATATATATATATATAGATACTGTCGAATGACTTTATGGAGATCCGCGAGGTGACCCTTGGCTTAGAGTATGGTTCACTGCGGATGTTGTGCGTATGACCCTCTGTATAGTTGAGATGAGGATGATGCTTATGTGGGGTGATTTTTCGGACGCAGGACAACGCCCCTCTTTGAACGGCCACTTGACTATATCCTTTTTGTCGTCGAAGAGATGGAATCGCGACGACTCTCCTTTAGAAATTCTGCGAATCGTCCGTGGATGAGGGAAGAAGAGGAGGAGGAGGTGGTGGGGGGGGGGGGTTTGGAAGCGGCGTCTCCTCGTCGGCTTCCATCGCGTATCCCCGGGGCGAGTGCGTCAAAAAAGGGGGATGATGCTCTGAATTCTGCGATGATTGGACCGCGCACAAATATATATCCCTTCGTACACATTCAAACACACAACCACGTGGGGCCATTGCAAATCTTCAGTAGCGTCACAAAATTATGGTTCCTTATTTCATCATGTTTTTGAAAATAATTGTTGTTGTTCTGAAAAAAGAAGAAAATTTTTTAAATTCAAATCAACTTTTTTTTTACTATTATTATTATTATTATTATTATTATTATTATTATTAATATTATTATTATTATTATTATTATTATTATTATTATTAATAGTATACACGCAAAAAAAGATTTCTTTGATTCAAAAAAAAAATTATCTTCGTTTCAAAAGAAATTTTTTATTTAATTCAAATAAATGTTTCTCTTTGACATTAATATAGAATTTTTTTGATTCAAAGAAAACTTTTGTGAATCAAAAAAAAGTTTTTTTTTTTTTAAATCAAAGAAATTATCTTTAAAACTATGAGAAACTTTTTTTTGTTTCAAAGAAAATTTTAAATTTAATCAATGAAAAAAATAATTTTTATTTAAATTAAATAAATTTGTATTGAAACCAATAATTTCTGTTATTGAAACAAATACAATTTCAAATAATAATTATTTGATATAATTATACTAGAAATATATAAATATATACCTATATATATGTTTGCGATAATAGTCAAGAATTATTAGAATCAAATAAAATTTTTTTTTCTCATGTGTAATGTAACTTTTTTTTTCCCCCTGTCTTTTCTGATTTGTGTTTGTTTCTTTACTTTTTCCGCACACTTTTTGAATTGCGTGACATGAAAATAAATCCTCATATAATTCTGTCAGAAACTTTGATATATACCTTTTGACTCTGTCATATCTCTTTACTTGTCATAATTCAGCATGTAAAACATTCCCTTTGCGATGTAAATAAAATAGCATTGTATATATATATATATATATATATATATATATATATATATATATATATATATATATATATATATGTGGGTTATGTTATATATTATTTTATATATTTACATAAAAATATTTTATTACCAAAAAAAAGTTATAAAACAAAATTTTATTTATAATAAGACACATGTATTTCTTTTTTAAAATAAAATTATTTGATTCAAATAAATATTTACTTGATTGAAGGAAATATTTAGTTGATTCCAGAAAATATTTACTTCTTTTAAGGAAACATATACTTGCATCAAGGAAATATATTGTTGGTTCAAGGAACTATTTAGTTGGTTCCAGAAAATATTTACTTGTTTCAAGAAAATATTTACTTGCTTTAAGAAAAAATATTTACTTGCTTCAAAAAAAAAATTTAGTTGGTTTAAGGAACTATTTAGTTGGTTCCAGAAAATATATACTTGTTTCAAGGAAACATTTACTTGCTTCAAGGGAAATATTTAGTTGGTTCAAGAAAATATTTAGTTAGTTCAAGGAAACATTTAATTGCTTCAAGAAAATATTTAGTTGGTTCCAGAAACTATTTACTTTCTTCAAGGAAATATTTAGTTGGTTCAAGAAACTATTTCTTTGGTTCAAGAAAATACTTCTTTGGTTCAAGAAAATATTTAGTTTGTTCAAGAAAATATTTAGTTTGTTCAAGAAAATATTTATTTAGTTCAAAAAAATATTTATTTAGTTCAAAAAAATATCGATTTAAATATTTATTTGCTTCAATTAAATATTTATTTGACAACAGTCAATATAAGTAAACGATTTTATTTGAATCAAATAAATTTTTTTTCTTGTTTCAATTATAATATATATATAAGTGCGTAGGGTGACGTGGAAAATTGACACGATCCTGAATTCGTTGAAAATCGGCAAAATTCGCCAACTCTCGACTAAATCCTATCAAAACCCCCTCCGCAAGCAATCCCGGGCATCCTTCGTTCGTCTCTCATCATCTTTTCGTTCTCATCTCTCCCAAACCCCCCCCCCTCCCGACCCCCACTTCTCCAACCCCACCATCAGCACCACTTCTTCTCTAACATAACTGGATTCTGGACTCCATATACATAGCTTAAACCATGTTGCCTTTCGAGAATTCGGCACAGTTCGTCCTTGTTCCTTGGTTGAGACGCAACGACAAACTTCCTCTCCCCCACCCCACCCCCGCGCCTCATTTACCCCCCCCATTATGCTTTTGAAACCTCCCTTTACCGCGTTTCCTTTCCCGACGTATTGATCGGTCCTAGTCCAGAGAACTCTCAGTGGATGCTGACAACATTGAAAGACAATATATATATATATATATATGGGTTGATATTATGTTATGGGGGGCAATTCACGTAAGATTATCAAAAAAAAAAAAAAAAAATTTTTTTTTGTTGGGTTAACAAAAAATTTATTTTGGTATTTATTTGGTTGGATCAAAAAAAAAAATTTTTTTCTTGATATTTCAGCAACCAAACTATTTGTTTGAGTCAACAAAAAATTTGGTTGATTGCTTTTGTTGGCATAACAAGAATATTTGGTTAGCTCAACCAAATTTTTTTTTTTTTTTTTGGTAGATCAACAAAAATATTTGGTTGATTTAAACTATAATTGTTCTCGTAAGGTACGAGCTATAGCGAATTAAATTATTTGGTTGTCGTAACCAAAATTTTGGTTAGAACGCAATCATTTGGTTTTTAGACCAAACTATTTTTTTGTGTCAACCAAATTATTTTGTTGACGTAACTAAATTTTGATTGGAATTTAAAAATGTTCAATCAAATAATTTTGTTGGCGTTTTAAAACGTTAAATTTACTAAAAAAAAAAAATCTCAACTTTCATAATTTTTTCATCAAAATAATGAAATAAAAAAATACCTATTTTCTTAATTTTCATAAAAATTTTTGAAAAAAAACAATGTTCTGGTCAATAAAAAATTTCAAATGAAAATCTCACGTGGAATGACCCAAATATATGTTGACATGAAGAGATTTTATAGAAATAGAAAAATAGACGATAAAAGAAAAATAAGAGGAAAGTTGATTGCGAGAAGGTATAAAAAAAAATGTTATAGGAATCGTATTTGATATGGCGGTGAGAATCTCGCTCAATAAATCGTATAATTCAACTATATATAGCTTGCCATATAATGACATTTCTAACATGCGTTATTAATGTTATTACTTTTTTAATCTTTGTCTATATACCATTGAAAGAAACATTTATTCTTTGTTTTTTATTTTATTTTCATATTAGTAGTAAAAGTAATTTTTCAGTCAGACAAGTGATAAGAATTGTCGTAGTTTCAATATCAGTAGTAAAAGTCATTTTTAATCAGACAGAAAATTATTTTTTCAAAGTTTAGTATAATTAATAAAATAAACTTTTAATCAAACAAAGGCTGAAATTTTGGTTGTTTCAATATTAGTAGTCAAAATAAATTTTAGTCAGACATAATTGTATGCATTTTTTAAACTGTTAGTGATAAGTAGAAAAGGTGTTTTTATTCAGACAACTATTTAAAATCTGAAACTTTTTGTATCAGTAGTAAAAGTAATTTTTAGTCAGACAGCTTCAAAATTTTAGATTCCTTATTAGTAGTAAAAATATTCTTTAGTCAGACAATTACTAAAATTCTCTTACTTTTAATATCAGTAGTAAAAATAATTTTTTGGTCAGACAACTAGAAAAATTCTTGTAGTTTCAATATAAGTAGTAATAAATCCTTTTAGTCAGACAATTGGTGAAATTTTTGCAATTTAAGTGTCAGTGGTAAAAGTTATTTTCAGTCAGACAAGTGCTTATAATTTTGTAATTTCTGTATCAGTAGTAAATGAAATTTTAGTCAGACAATCGGTAAAATTTTTGTAGTTTCAATATTAGTATAGTAAAAGTAAATTTTAGTCAGACAAGTACTAAAATTCTTGTAGTTTCAGTGTAAGTAGTAAATGTTAACTTTGGTCAGACATTGTATTTTGTAATTTTTACACAATTTATTTAGTCAGACAATTATTCAAAAATTTGTAGTTTTACTATCAGTAGTATAAGTGTGTTACAGTCAGACATGAAAAATGGAATTTTTTTTTTGAATCTTTAGGTATATATCAGTAGAAAAAGACAATTTCTGTCAGACTCAAAAAATTTACAATTTGTTCATTTTAATGTAAGTAGCAAAAGTAGTTTTTAGTCAGACACAATTTTTTCAAAAAAATTCTCTCCTTGTCAACAAAACAAAAATTTGCTTTAAGAAAAAAATATTACTTGTAATAAATTTTTTATTGTCAAAATAATTAATAAAGTTTATTTGGTAGCAAGTAAATGTATATTTTCTGTATATGTGCTTGTCACTCTCTTCCTTTCAATAAATCGTTTTTATTTTGACAATCAGATTTTAAATTTTACTTTATATAGTTCAAAGGCATATATATATATTATTGTCACTTCGAAAAGTCGAATGCTGCCTGCATCTTAGATTTTCGTATGCAGACGTGATAATGTAAATATATATATATATATATATCAGACACAAGGGTCCTCTGAAACGTACCACTTGCTTTGCGTGACATTCGATTTCAATCTGATTGAGTACACCGATCTGTCAGCGTAAAAATTATTTTCTAAAAAAAAAAACATTTTATTTGAATATTAACACAAGTTTGAGAAAATTTAAATATGAGTACATTTATTTTTTTTTTCCTAATAAATAAATAATTTCCCCTTTTTTTTTCTTTGCTACTAAAATTTTTTTTAACAAAAAAGAATTTTGTTTTTCTTTCATTATTTACAAATTTAAATTTTTCATTTTATTTTCAATTATTTTTATTATATTTTTAATATATATATATATATATCTACAATTTTGACAATATTTAGGGTATTTATAAAAAAACGTGCAAATATTATATTCTCAATGTTAAATATTTTCGTTATATTTAGTTTTATGCGCAACCTGTAATTACGCATTTGTCAATACCCGAGGGCAAAACGCAAAGTGAGATTCAAAAAGACAGATGTCCTATATATATAATATATACTCTAAAACTTTTAAAGTACATTTAATCAAGCTTATAAATATATATATATATATCCTATATAGAGTTCTTTATTATAAATTATTTATATTTTTATTTTTAAGGAAATTTTATGGGCAACACCTTTTGTATATATACGACACGCGCGCACCCGTTTACCCATTCTTATATGCGTCTAGGAACATTCACATGAATCATAACAGAGAGGGGCGCAAGATAAGACTTTTGAGAGCGATAAAAAAAATAAGAAGAATTGATCTATAAGAAAAAAAAAAAAAAAGAGAATCATAAAAAGTCATATTTTCCATAGCCGAAAGCATTTCAATGATAAATTATATTCTCCCTTAAAAAAATATATAATAACAATAATAACAATAACAATAATAATAACAGTAATAATAATAATAATAATAATAATAATAATAATAATAATAATAATAATAATAATAATAATTACAATTTAATTATAATTATAACAAGAATAAACAAAAAAAATTATAATTAAATTGTAAAAATTATTATTATTATTATTATTATTATTATTATATCCGGCGTCCGTCCGTAGCGTCGTACACTAGTACGGTTGCCATGGTAACAATTATCATGAGAGCCGTTTCCATGACAACCGTTACCATAGCAACATTTTCCATGACAACCGTTTCCATAGCAATCGTTTCCATAGCAACCGTTACCATGGCAACAGTTTCCATAGCAACCGTTACCATGGCAACAGTTTCCATAGCAACCGTTATCATGGCAACAGTTACCATAGCAACCGTTTCCATAGCGATCGTTTCCATAGCAAACCGTTTCAATGAAAACCGTTACTATAGCAATCGTTGCTAAGGAATTTTTTATATATGCGGAACAGCGATATGTTTGTCTGAAGTGGCGCGAAAATTTTCGCTGTTTTAGTGAAATTTATCATTGTTTTAGATAAAGAAAAAAAAATTTATTTGTCACTTAATTTCAAGTATTAAACAGAAAAAATTGTTTTTTTTAAATATTTTAATAATAAAAAAATTAGATAAAAAAAAAAAAAATAAAATTTCTACCTTTATTAAATTCAAAAAAAAAAATGATATAATTATCATAAATTTCAATAATTTTTATTAAATAAAAAATATAAATAATATAAATAATAAATATACTTTTTTCATCTATATTTAATTTTAATCTATGTTTAAAAAGCAAGCACCGTTTATGATTATATGGTATATATATATATATATATATGTGTGTATAGATATAGTGAACAAGTCGTAACGTAGTTAACGCGCTTCCCATTTATTGATTAAAATACGCCAGAAAGAGCCAATGTTGTGGAAACGAATATTCTTCTCTAAAAATGAAAATACTCGTTTACCACGCGTTATTCTTGATAACAAGGTAATATTTACGATCGTAATTCCTCCGTTATTCAATTTGCTACACGGTTTATCTTGTTTTATTACAGGCATATATAACTATATATATATATATATATAGAAGGAAATTTTAAAAACAAATACATATAACGAATTCATATATACATATATATATATGATAGTATGCAATTTTAAATTCAATGCACTGAAAAATTTAATCCGTAGATGCATTATAATTATATGCATAATAAAGATTTTATACCCGAAATTGTATATACAGATATATATATATATTTTATGATAAAAAAAGAAAACTTAAAATCAACATAAAACTATAAGTATAAAATTATCGTTTCACATTCATTTAAGTTGATAAAAAATTGTATAGTGCGTTTAATTAAATTTTTTTTATCACCCAGAATACATTTAGTAAAATAATATATAATTCTTTCATATAATATTAGAGGGAAATTTATATATAATTATCTTCTTTCAGGATTTAATTAAATTTTCTTTTTTTAATTTAATACATAAATTTTAATTGTTTTAGTTTTCATTCTTTTTTTTCAAAATCAATTAATTATAATATTAAAGAAGCATTTAATGTAAAATTGTTTTTAAAACAAAATTTTTTTTTTTTTTTTTTACTGTAGGGAAAAAAATATTTACCTGAAACAAGGAAAAATTTTAATAGAATAGAAAAAAATAATTGAATTAAGTATACAACTTTTGCTATACTATATATATATATATAGTGTAATGTTTTGCGAATTATTTTTTTCCAATTAATTTAATACAATATATGTAAATTGAAAATTGTAAATAAAAATTGTATTTAAATGAAATAATAATAAAAGAATGGCTCATATATACCTTTTTTTTATATATATATTTGTACTTATAACACTGCTGGTCGATGGATAATTGTTTCTCACTGCATTTTCACGACTGAAAGAAGTCCTGACTACGACTGCTTGTCTCTATTGTATCGCGGAATGTTTTCACATGGAAGGAACGTCCGGAAATCGTGACTCGAATAATAAATGTTCGTCAGCCGATTTCCTTTTTCTATCGCACCTACCGCAAGCATATATTCCAAGAGACGTGGAAGTACCTGAAAAAATGTTTTCGAGTACATTTCATATTCTTTGATAAAATCAATTTAAATAAATATATATATATACACTTTGAAACAAAAGAAGGTTACATTATTCATTTTGTAAATTTTTCTTTTTTTAAATTAGAGGTAGTTCAATTTTTTAAATTCATGTTCAATTTTTGCAATTCGTGTTCAATTTTAAAAAATTTTAAATTTTTGTAAATTAAAAATTTTCATATTCAATTTAATTTAATTTATTCAATTTTTTTATAGTAAATTTTATTTGGAGAATTTTTTTTTATATTCAAATATTTCTAAATTTAATGCCATGTAATATTTTTAAATTATTGTAGTTTCAGTACCAGTAGTAAAAGTGATTTTTAGTCAGACAGCTTCAAAATATTTGGTTTCTTATTAGTAGTAAAAATATTCTTTAATCAAACAATTGCTAAAATTCTTTTACTTTTAATATCAGTAGTAAAAGTAATTTTTAGTCAGACAACTAAAAAAATTTCTTGTAGTTTCAATATCAGTAGTAATAAATCCTTTTAGTCAGACAAGTGATAAGAATTGTCTTAGTTTCAATATCAGTAGTAAAAGTAAGTTTTAGTCAGACAGAAAATTATTTTTTCAAAGTTTAGTATAATTAATAAAATTAATATTTTAACCAAACAAAGGCTGAAATTTTGGTTGTTTTAATATTAGTAGTCAAAATAAATTTTAGTCAGACATAATTGTATGCATTTTTTAAACTGTTAGTGATAAGTAGAAAAGGTGTTTTTATTCAGACAACTATTTAAAATCTGAAACTTTTTGTATCAGTAGTAAAAGTAATTTTTAGTCAGCCAGCTTCAAAATTTTAGATTCCTTATTAGTAGTAAAAATATTCTTTAGTCAGACAATTACTAAAATTCTTTTACTTTTAATATCAGTAGTAAAAATAATTTTTAGTCAGACAACTACAAATATTCTTGTAGTTTCAATATCAGTAGTAATAAATCCTTTTAGTCAGACAATTGGTAAAATTTTTGCAATTTAAGTGTCAGTGGTAAATGTTATTTTCAGTCAGACAAGTGCTTATAATTTGGTAATTTCTGTATCAGTAGTAAATGAAATTTTAGTCAGACAATCGGTAAAATTTTTGTAGTTTCAGTATCAGTAGTGAAAGTAATTTTTTAGTCAGACAGCTGCTAAAATTATTGTAGTTTCATTATTAGTAGTAAAAGTAATTTTTAGTCAGACAGAAAAATTTCTATTTATTAAACTTTAGTATAAATATAGTAAAAGTAAAAAAAAGTTTTGGGTCAAAAAGGTGCTAAAATTTTTATAGTTTCAATAATAGTAGTCATAGTTACTTTTAGTCAAAAAACTTTCAAAATTTTTGTTATTTCAATATCAGTATTAAAAGTAACTTCTTGTGGGCAATTAATATAATTATTTGTTCCATTTTTAAAAATTTTTTGTTCAAGTAGTAAAAATAAAGTTTAGTCAGACAAAACTAAAATATTTATAGTTTCACAATCAGTAGTAAAAGCAGATTTTGGTCGGGCATAATAGTTTGAAATTTTAATACTTTAGTTATTATCAGTAGTAAAGGTAAATTTAAGTCAGACAATTGTAAAAAATTTGATGTCAGTAGTCAATGTAAGTTTTAGTCAGACAAAGCTAATGAAATTATTCCGTGAGTATAGACAAAGCAAATTTTAGTTAGGCAATAACAATTTGAAATCTTATAACTTTAGATAATAGAAAAATTAGTAGTAACAGAAATTTTTATCCCGACATTTAAATTCTTACATTTTTTGTAATATATCAGGTTTTGTCAAAATTGTTAAAATTCTCATTATTTTATATATGTAATATAAGTAGTATAAAAATTTCTTTTCAGTCATATTTTCTAATTATCCATTTTTTTTTATGTTTTAATAAAACAAGTTAAATGAGTTTGAACAGAGGGATTTCTGAAATAAGTATATATATATATACTAGTCGGAGCAATAAAAGCTTAAACGACTAAGCTAATGTTATTGAGATGAACCTAGTCGGAAAGGAGGAGTGCGGATTTCCAACAAAAAATGGCAATGCCGCCCCCTTTTTACAGAAATTTAGATTTTCTCCTCCTTTCATTGAAAAATGTTCCACTATAACCAAATTGAATCGCACTTGCAACTTCGCTAGCATTGCTAATGTAAATTATGCTAAAATCCAAAAGAGACTTTAAAAAAAAATGCCAAATTGAAAAAAAATACAAAAAAAGAATTTTCATCTGAAACAACGATAAGTTTCACTGGAACAGAGATATTTTTCACTAAGACAGGGAAAGTTTTCGTTGATCCAGAGAAACATATATCGCTGTTCCAGATAAAGATTTTTTTCCCATTTATTTTTTTGATATTAATCGATATTAATTGATATTAATTAATTTAGATAAAAATTATTGTTTCGAATCCATTTACGAAAATTGATATTTAAATTTTATTTTTGTATATAGAGGGAATTTCTCTCACTCTCTTTACATTTGCTAAACATAATAAGTCTATATATATTTCGAAATAACGGTATCATTTATTCATTTAGGAGCTTTTAGGGCTGTTGAATGATTCTAACAGGGGTTTGTATGTATATATACCAAATGTAATTTGTATTCTTTTAACCAATGATAGTCGTTTATTTCAATCATGCGCAGAGTGCACAAAAGCATAATTGCTTCCAACAAATAAAATACTTGTTTAATTTATTTATTTTCTTGTTATAGAAAATTATTAAAAACACTAAAATATTTATTTAAAACAACTATAGTATTTATTTAAATATAGATTTACTCTATAAATAATTATTAAAAATTACTAATAATAAATATTAAATTTATAATTTATTTATAATTTATTTATAATTTATAATTTATAATTTATAATTTATTTATAATTTATAATAATAATAAATTTAAAAAATAATAACAATATATTTGCAAAATTTGGAAAAAAAAAAGTTTTCGTATTTCCCCCATGACGTTGACGTAGCTCCCATGGGAGATTTTCGTGAATAAAACTTAGCGCGCGCTATATATATATATATATGCAAAAATTCACAGAATTCAAAAATATCCTTTTCGTCCTCAATCTTTTCATCTCCCTCAAAAACTGTCTTCTATCCTTCTTTTTTTGTTCCTTTTTTCTACTTAACTTTTTTTCTATCATCCTCCTTCTTTTTTTCTCACCCTTAACTTTGCTTTTTATCCCTTCGTCAGATACGAAGAGGTCAACGTAAGAAGCTGGCACTTAGTACATATATACATATATATATATATATATATATATACACAGCTATAAAAAAAGGATCAGTTTGTATGTGTGGATGTCCATCGTAAGAGGTATTTCTGAACTGAGGTTTATCCCCCTTCACGTTTTTATTCGATTCGTCTGGGATAGAAAGAAAAATTGTGTTATATACATATATATATATATACTCAAAAATGGGATTAGAAAAAACTGAAGTGAAATTCGCCGAAAAAACTTAACTCTAAATTTAAGAATATATATATTCTAAAGAATTCTAAAGAATTAATAAAAAATATTAAATTTGACTTATTGTTTTTGAATTAGAATTTTACTAATTCGATAGTGAAAAAAATATTTTTTTTTCTTTTACTATCACTGCAAAAATTTATGTCTTATTTTAAAAAACTTTTTGTCCTGATTTTTAAGATATTTTATGGTGTCTTACATTTCGACCAATTACGGAGCGTCTTAGATATTTTCTATATATATACAATGAAAAAAGGGTTTAGTATATTGATAACCAAACGTTTGGTTGGTATTTAAGCAACGAAAATTTTTTTTTATTGAATCAACAAAATTTTAATTGTCTCAATCAAAATTTGTTTGACACAATCAAAATTATAGAAAAAAAGGATTTTTGTTGTTCTAACTATATATAAAGTTTGATTGGGACAACCAAAATTTTGTTGATTCAATAAAAACAAAATTTGATTGCTTTATACCAACCAAACGTTTGGTTGTCAAACCCTTTTTTCAGTATAACCAAATGAAAAAAGTGAAAATAATTTTTTAAGACATTTCCTGTGTTATATATATGTCTTAGAATTAGACGCACTCGTTTTTACAATGTATAGACATTTAGAGAACCTCTTTTAAAATTCTCTCAATTTATTCGATATATAAAAAAAAATATCAAAATCATTTCATCATTGCTCGAAATCTAAGACACTATATATAAAATGTCTTAAAAACAATAGGACAAATGACGTGTGTGTTTTAAAATATAAGACAATTTTTTAATTATTGCAATATGTAGATAAGTGTCTTATTTTAACGACACTTTTGTCCTGATTTTTTAAGACATTTTGTAGTATATATATGTCTTAGATTTCGACCAATGACGGAATGTCTTAGATATATTTTTCCCAAATTATGTCAATTTTAAGACGTTTCCAAAGTGTCTTTTGTCTTATATAGTAAAATACTTTTTGTACTGATTTTTAAGACATTTTATGGTGTCTTAGATTATTTTTGGCCCATTATATACGAAATGTTTTAGAGATTTATTCTATATAACAAATGAAACAAATGGAAAGAATTTTACGACTTTTCCCGAGTGTCTTATGTGTCTTAAAGTGTAAGATACTTTTTGATGATTTTCAAGAAAATTTTAAACTTTCCTATATAAGTGTCTTAAAGTATAAGACACCTCTTTTTGACAATGATAGTGTCTTGTGTCTTAAAGTGTAAGACACTTTTTGATGATTTTCAAGAAAATTTTAAACTTTCCTATATAAGTGTCTTAAAGTAAGACAATTTTTGACAATGATATTTACATATTATATCAAAAGATAAATAAATTCCAAAAAAAAATTTTTACATAACTATAGGATTATTTTTCAAAAATTATTTTTCTCCTCCACAAATAGTATAGTGTACGCGGGGAAAATTAATGAGACTTGCTAAATATATACGTCGCTTGAGGGTATATGAAAAAAAAAAAAAACGATGAGAAGAATTTACATTGAAAATATAGTTCAAAGAAAGATAGATAACGCTTAAAAAAAAAATTACAAGGGTTAGGAATATATATATATATATAGGCGGAGACATGGGGTTGGCAGGCAACGTCAAGCATTCAAAAAGGGGGATGGATAGAGTTTAGGTGGAGAAACGAATGGTTGGAGTGATGTAGGCAAAAAAGGGAGAAAAAAAAGAAAAAAAAAAGGGGGGGGGACCCACCATACCGTATAGCGATTCCATCTGCCTGTCATTCTGATACTGCGTACACTGTCGGCTGTCGACAACCGCGATCAATACACTGCAATCTATACAAAATGGCTGATGCAATATTTCACAACTTTTTATCTTTATATCCGATACTTATTATTATTAAAAAAAAAAGAAAATAGTATGACACTGTCGTCGAATAAATTTTCAAATACTAAAAAGAAAACAATATTTTCCTTTTTTTTTATAAAGTTTGAAAAAAAATTACTTTTTCCATTTAAATTAATTTTAATAAAAATAATAAATTTATTACATCCAGAGAAATGTTTTATTTTAACCAAATATAATATATTTGAATTAAATAAATGTATATATATTTATCTCATATATAGCCAACTAGCCTATTTAATTGGCGTAAATCAAATTTTTTTCTTTAAATCAAATTTAAAATTTATTTAAATCAAATAAATATTTATTAGGCTCTGAGACAAATACAAAAAAAAAAAATTTTATTTGATTCAAATAATTGATTACTTATTGACTATTATCAAATAAATATTTATTTGTAATATTTATTATTGTAACAAATAATTATTATTTAAATCAATTAAATTGTATTATTATTTCAAATACAGAAAATTATTGGTTCAAATACAATTTATTTAATTTAAATAAAAAATTATTTAATTCAAATAAAAAATATTTTGGTTCAATTAAATATTTATTTGATAATAGTTAAGTAATCGCGTATTTGAATCAAATGAATTTTTTTTTTTTCAGTGTTAGCATCCGCTCTTTATAGTTAAATAATTTTTTTGGGGAAAAAAGTATTTTTTTTTTACATGCTACTTAGATTATAAATGGAATGAAATTTTTTCTCTATTATTTAATATAAATATTAAAGAGAAATTATTTCCTAAAATAGTTTCTTTTTTTTCGTGGGATTGTCGAAAAAAAGAAAAATTTTTGAAAATAAAGTCGGAGTGTTTTGATGTATGTGGCGCCATCTGGAGAATATTCCGTAAAGTTAAAGTTCCTCAAAATCACGAAAGATGGCGTCATAACATCATTATTGGTTCAATTTGATAAATTAGAAAATAAATTTCACAAAAAATGGAAAACATAATATTTTTCTTTTTCCTCAAAAGAAAAAAATTTCTAAATAGTTTTATAATCCACTGTATTTTCTTTTACCAAAAAAAATTTGCATAATTTGAAAATAATTCTTCACACTGAATTTGACATTATTAATTTCGCATTACACATTTACACTTCACATTTACTGCAAAAAATGAAAAAAAAAAAACGTTATTTTAATATACTGATATTAATACATTTTCCGGGGAATAAGATGAAAAAAAAAAAAATTGGGTTCATACAAAAAAAATTTCATAAATAAAAAAAATTTTCTTGAACACAAATAATTGCAAAAAATTGAAATTGCGAGTAAAAAAACAATACATATATGCAATAAATACGACTGCACGGCAAGCAGGTCGAAGCAGAACTAAACCAAGTTTCGTACAATAAAGGGGATCATTTTGAATCTGTGTGAAGTGTGTTGAAATTTATGGTTCTCCCACCCAGCATCCCCTTCTGGACCGTGGGGGCCGACGTAAAGGCCGGCCATTAATTTTCCGTTTGCCAAAGTGTATAGCTTGATTCCTTGTGGATTATACGACAAGTGCCATTATCGAATATAGTTTTTTGTCTATTTCAAAAACAAAATTTATTTGATTTACTTAAATATTTGTTTGATTTTAGTAAATATTTGCTTAATTCTAGTAAATATTTGCTAGATTCAAGTAAACATTTGCTAGATTCAAGTAAACATTTGCTAGAATCGAGTAAACATTTGTTAGATTCTAGTTAATATTTAGTTGATTCAAAAAAATACTTGTTAAATTCTAGTAAATATTTGCTTGATTTTAGTAAATATTTGCTAGATTCTAGTAAATATTTGTTTGATTCTAGTAAATATTTACTTGATTCAAAAAAATATTTGGAATAACCAATAATTGTTTGATCCTAGAAAATATTTGCTTGATTTTAGTAAATATTTGCTAGATTCTAGTAAATATTTGTTTCATTCTAGTAAATATTTGCTTGATTCAAGTAAATACTTGTTTGATTCTAGTAAATATTTGTTTGATTCTAGTAAATATTTACTTGATTCAAGCAAATATTTGGAATAACCAATATTTGTTTGATCCTAGCAAATATTTGCTTGATTTTAGTAAATATTTGCTAGATTCTTGTAAATATTTGTTTGATTCTAGTAAATATTTGCTTGATTCAAGTAAATACTTGTTTGATTCTAGTAAATATTTGTTTGATTCTAGTAAATATTTACTTGATTCAAGTAAATATTTGGAATAACCAATATTAGTTTGATCCTAGCAGATATTTGCTTGATTTTAGTAAATATTTGCTAGATTCTAGTAAATATTTGTTTGATTCTAGTAAATATTTGCTTGATTCAAGTAAATACTTGCTTGATTCTAGTAAATATTTGTTTGATTCTAGTAAATATTTACTTGATTCAAGTAAATATTTGTAATAACCAATATTAGTTTGATCCTAGCAGATATTTGCTTGATTTTAGTAAATATTTGCTAGATTCTAGTAAATATTTGTTTGATTCTAGTAAATATTTACTTGATTCAAGTAAATATTTGTAATAACCAATATTTGTTTGATCCTAGCAAATATTGGCTTGATTTTAGTAAATATTTGCTAGATTCTAGTAAATATTTGTTTGATTCTAGTAAATACTTGTTTGATTCTCGTAAATATTTGCTTGATTCTAGTAAATATTTGTTTGATTCTAGTAAATATTTACTTGATTCAAGTAAATATTTGGAATAACCAATAATTGTTTGATCCTAGAAAATATTTGCTTGATTTTATAGTAAATATTTGCTAGATTCTAGTAAATATTTGTTTGATTCTAGTAAATATTTGCTTGATTCAAGTAAATACTTGTTTGATTCTAGTAAATATTTGCTTGATTTTAGTAAACATTTGTTTGTTTCCATTAAATATTTGGTTGATTCGAATAAATATTTATTTAATTATAGTAAATATTTGTTTGATTCAAATATAAATCATTATCTGATTTAACTAAACATTTACTGTATATGTAATAAATTTTTCCAACAAAGAAAAAATTTGATTGAGCGAAATAAAATTTCTGTTTTTTTTTTTTTTGGTTTACTGCTGGTATACAAAATTATTTATCTAATTCAACTAAAATTTTTGTTGTTTCAAACCATTCTTTTTTTTCAATGTGATTTTGATAAAATTCCTATTTTTTTGGAGATGAGGGGGAATTATTAATATTTACCAACCTAACTTTTTTCTACTTTCCGTTTTCAATTTTCTATAATTTTTATATATCCGTTATTTTCTTCACTTTCCATATATTCCATTTTCTGAATTTTCACTTCCACTTTTCACATATATTTAAACATATATATTTAAACACCCCACTTTTTTGGAAGAAATTTTTAAATAGATAATTAAAAAAAAATTTTTTTTAAAGAAAAAAATGAGGCGGGAAATTGAAAATTTTAAAAACAAATTTTTTGAAAATAAAAAAAACTTACTTCCTGGACCGTATTGGAGATGAAAAATATTTGTTCCAGGTGATGTTGTTCGTTTGCCGATCTTCGGGGTTGTGATGCAGTGAAACGCCGAGGGGTAGTATCCATTGGGGAAATGATTTATGGCTACGAGTACCAGGTAGGGCGCCATTCAACTCTGAATTCAGCCTTGGTTTCCTTCTCGTGCCTTCGGCTACTATATAGTATAATATATATATATATATATGTAGTATACTGTAAAAAAGTCATCTACGTTTTTCAACTGCCATTTTATCTCTCGCTCTGAATTTAATGTTTTCAGTTGACTTACTTATTTGGATCACGCACGATAGCCAAATATTTCGCTCCTTATAATAATAAATTTATAAAAGAGCAATTCGCGATGTTTAGTAAAAATTTAAGCATTTTTTTTTTTTTTATTATTTATTTAATTAATTCAAGAAAATTTCTCATGCATATCATTTCAACTAATTTTCTTTTTTTTTGTAGAGATTTCAAAAAAATGGTGATATCTCCGAAAAGTTTTGTTTCAATCAAATATATATACTATTTTTTTGTATTAACACAATTTTTTAGTTATTTTGAACAAAATTTTTTTTTAAACATTTTTTTTTTGTATTAACCCAATTGTTTGGTTATTTCAAATAAAATTTGTTAGATTGAAACGAAAATTTATTTGATTCAAACAAAAATTTCTTTGCGTCAAACAAAAATGATTTAATTTTATTTAAAAAAAATTTATTTGATTCAATGACAAAGTTGATTAGATGCAAAAGAAATTTATTTGATTAAAAACAAAATTTAATTTGATTCAAATAAATATTTTTTTTGATCTAAATAAACGTTTGGTTAATTATAATAAATTTTTTAAACGAAGAAAGAATTTTATTGAACCAAATAAACTTTTAAGTTGAGTCAACTAAAATTTGGTTGTTTCAAATAAATTTTTTTCCCTAAGTGCACTATAGAAAAAAAGTGAACAACGCAGGATTAAAAAAAAAATTTGAGGAAAACTTCGTTCTTTTTTCTATTGAAGGTAAATATTTATCGTTTTACAATAAATATGAAAAATAATTGGTATTAAAAAAAAATTGTATTAAAAAATAAATGAATAAATTGTATCAAAAATTATTTTAAAACAATTTTTTTTTAATAATACAAATTTTAAAAAATTGGTACAAAATTCGATAAACGAAAGTAGACACATATTAAAATTGAAGTTTCGAGAAAAAATTGGCTAACGTGAATGAAAAAAAAATCCCTAACAGAAAGTATATGTCAACATAAATAATAAAAGAAAACTGTTGTATATACTATGTAAAAGTGTATTCTAAAACCTTAAGCTTCTTTGGCACGTAAAAAGTATATAATGTTATCTCAAAAGAGGAAAGCAAGTGAACATTGCAAAATACCACAGGACAAAATTTTTTCCTACTTTTCAAGTAACATATATATATATATATATAATTTTTTTTTCGCGACTTTTATACAAGTTTGTGATTTTTATTTTTCTATCACTTTAAATATAAATAATTTTTTTTAAATTCTGATAATTTTATTTATTCATGTATTTATTATTTTATTTATTATTTAATTAATTATTTAATTTATTATTTAATTGATTATTTTATTTATTATTAAATTAATTATTTAATTAATTATTTAATTTATTGTTTAATTTATGATTTAATTGATTTACATAATAGATTTAGTAATAAATTAAGAAAATTAAATAAATAAATTAAATAAAAAATTAAAATAAATCTTAAAGTTAATCTTTATAAAAATTATTTTTCTTTTCTAAACATTTTAAATGTTATTATAAAATTCTAAATATTAAAATAATTATTATTTTCTAAAATAAAATCAATTAAAAATAATTTCGCATTTTATAAATAAATAATGTTGATTAACCCTTTTTAATAATTAAATTTCGAAATATGTTTCCTTTAAAATTTTGATTTTTAAAAAGAAATCGGAAGTCAATGATGATGAAAAAAGAAAAAAATTTTTTTTCCGAGTACCAAGAGAAGAAATATATATATACATATATGTGTATACTTAGAATTGAGAGGAAAGAAGGAGAGAAAATGTCGAAATTTACAAGGATAAAAAAGAGACAGAAGAGAGTCAATGCGTCAGTAGCTCTACCCCGAATAATCATCAATCATCAAGAGCGAGACAATCGTATAGAACATATATATACACAACCGATGAACAGCTGTCGCTTCGTTACTCTCCTTCGATAATAATCCACGTTACATGTTGCTATATATATAAAATTACAAATTAGAAATTGGAATTTACAAAAATTAATAAAAAAAATCTCGAAAAAAATTAATCCTTTTCTCTTCTTTTTCTTCTTCTTCTTCTTATTATTATTATTATTATACAGGGTGATTTTTATGTTCCGGATCCCCTAAAAATTTATTTTTTAATTACATATTTTTGCTTAAAAAACGAAAAAAAATGAGATTAAAAAAAAAATTTAGGGGGGTCCGGAACATAAAAAAAATCATGTTATATGTGAACCAAATATAATATATTTGAGTTAAATAAACTTATATATATTTGTCTCAGAGCCTACTTAACCCATTTATTTGGGGTAAATAAATTTTTTTTATTTAAATCAAATAAAAATTTATTTTAATTATATATATATATATAAAAAAACTTATTTGAATCAAATAAATATTTATTTGGCTCTAAGACAAATATATTCTATATCATGATAGAATTAAAACAATAAAATATTAAAAAAAAAAAAAAAAATTAAGAAACAAAAAAAAATAATCTTAAATCTCCATTAGCAAAATATATTACACTAAAATATTAAATAAAAGTTTGACAATTATTTTTATTTGAAATCATTACCTGTACATATAAATAATAAAAGTCAATGACATTTTGAAAATGGTGTTATGACTATACCGTAATTATAAAAACTCCCACTGTGTTAACGTATAATAGCTATATATATATATATATATATATATATATACGGATAGTGCGGACACCCCCTATGGATATTTTTTCTAACTCTTAAGAAATAAAACAAAAGAATTGTATATTTTTCCTAAGGATTTAAATATTGACTTTCAACATAAATTTTGCGGTTAAAAGTTAATGAATAATTAGAAATTTTTAGGAATTACCAAACAAATACCAAACAAATAAGAAGATAATAAAAATATGATGGGATTTCCAAGTTGACAATTTTTCTTACAGATCAAAGATATACTTATATATAACCAAACATTATATATATAATGAAAAATTTTTCCTTTTAAATTTTTGTTAATATTTCCTGTCAATTATTATGACAGACAGGATTAAGTATATATGTTTCGTTAAATAGTTATAGAAATAAATAACCATCATCATCATTTTATTTATTACCTTTTCAAATATGAAAATTTTGTCATAAATAATAAATATGTTTTTTTAATGGTCACAATTTACATATATATATATATATATATATACCAAAATGGGAAAAATTTTGTTTGAAACAAACAAATTTTGTTTACATCAACCAAATAATTATATATTGCTATATACACATAGTTAACTAAACTTTTCGTTAAATCAGCAAAAAGTTTATTTGACTAAATCAAATTCTTTCTTCATTTCGGAAAAATTTTTAAAAAACCAAATATTTAGTTAGTCAAATTTTTTCTTTAATTGTATTTTGTGTATAAAATTATTTTTCCGATTTTCGAAGATAGATAAAATTAAAATAAACTTAATGTCAAGGAAATAATAATAATAATAATAATAATATAATAATATATATATATATAATATATAATAATATATAATAATATAATAATAACTCTCTCTACTTTTACTTATTATTATTATTATTATTATTATTATTATTTTTATTGTTATTATTATAGTTATAGTTTCTTTTATTTATTTAATTTATTTATTAAAATTTGTTCTACTTTCTACCTATCTTCAAAAATCGACAAATATAATTTTACACAAAAAAATAGTCGAATGTTTAGTTTGATCAATTAAATATATTTATTTGAATCAATTTTTTTTTTTTTTTTTTTTTGAAAATATTGAAAAAATTATATTAAACCAAAAAAAATAGTATTTTTAGTTTAAACAAAACTTTTCTCTGAGTGTATATACATACATTTCATAAATAACTGATGTAAAAAATGTATAATTTCAATACACTCAGAGAAATGGTATATTTGTCTCCGAGCATACTAACTCATTTATTTGTTGCAAATATATTTTATTTCATTGAAATAAAAAATTTATTTGAGCCAAAGAAAAATTTATTTCTGACAAATAAAATTTTTATTTACGCCAAATAAATAAGTTAGTAGGCTATGAGACAACTATACGTTTATTTAACTCAAATATATTTTATTTGGTTCAAATAAATCATTTCTCTGGGTGTATGGATATGTCGATATATTGTATACTTGAACATATATAAATGATAAATAGAGGAGCTTTATTGTCTTTATAAAAACATAACCATTTATTTAAGGTCGCATATTAAAGATGGGTCGATGGTCGCGACTGAAGTCGAATAACATTTTTTTTTTTTTTTGGGGGGGTGTGCGACATTGACGAAATACAATCTGGCGCAAGATTTGTTGCTTCATTTTTTTTTTTTTTTTTGGTAAAAAAAATAAAACGGGAAAAATTTTTCTTTTTTCTTCAAATACCTTCTTTATTTTGCACATAAGTTTTTCTAATGGATTATATTGCATATAATAATGTTTATTAAAACATTTAATCAAAAGAAAAAAAAAATTTTTTTTTTTTAATAAAAAATGTAAACCTTGAAAAATTTTCAACTTTAAATATAAGAATTCTAGAGAGAGATGGAAAGCAACAAAAAAAAAAAAAAATGCTTATCCAAGAGGATTTGTGTTTTCTTAAAAGAGAAAGAGATTTTCCTTGACAGGGACGAAAATGAAAAAATATATTTGTATATATATGAAAAACGGGGCCTAGCTAGTAAATTAATAATCATGCGCAATTTTCACTCCATCCCTAAAAATTAATTAAATTTCCCTGAGCGCAGCGC